ATGGAGAAAATATCAAATATTGCTACACCATTGGGAATTTTAAGAAGGACATTACTTGTATTTTTCAAGTAATTTACATGCATTTCTAGAAAATGCAAAGTAAAGAAGTTTATACTAGCATTTACATATAATGTAAACATGGTATTTACTAGCATTATCCACCTAGCATTTGTGTGGTCTTTTTGCAAGTGTTGGTAACTTTTTTACTTACATTTAAAAATGTGAATAAACCCTTTAACAAATGTAGGGAGTAGGCCTTTTCATGTAGTGTGAGGATGCTATACATCACTTTTATTTTTGCTTTAGAGTTATGCACACAAAATATGTGTTTTATTTACTGGTGAAGCAATGCTTAATTTGTGACACATTTTCAACAAGTAGAAGGAATGAAAAAAAAAAAAAAAAACCCACAAAATTGGCACATATACATGCAATTTAAATGTCATTATACATATTATAAAGACAATACGCTCCCTCTTTAGAACAAACTTTTATACCAACACCAAGCTTATCATTAAACTCACTTAGATTTCCAAGTGCAGAAACTTGTTCAGTACTTGAATCCATAAAATAATCTAATTCTGTAAATAATAATAATAATAATAACAATAAATTAATGATGCTAATTCTAATCTATTATACTAATGTTATACTAATGAAAACATCTAAATCCTAGAACTAACTAATTCTACACTAATAAATAGAAAAATTTTGTTCAAAAACTACTAATATAGGGGAATTCCTGATAATCAAATAAATATATCTTCAACAACAAAAGGCACCAAATAATCTAATATAGAATTGGTTGTTAGTGTTGGATAGAGAATAATTTTTAGTCAATGAATTGTTGTAGAAGAGTATTGGATACAAATCACCTTGAACATAGAAGCAAAGAATGGGAAACAGAGGACACAAAAGCAAAGAATTGGAAAAAGTAGGAAAGGCAAGAAAAAAATGTAAGAACAATTAATTTTTTGCATTCAGACTTCACCGTCAAAGAGTCAATAAGATTTATGGAGTTTTGGATTTTCATTAAATATATTTTTCCATTTCACCTAGATAACATGTATTATGAGATATTGATATGTATGTTTTTATTGGACGAGGATACTGCATCAAT